GACTGATTTCCATATTGGGGAAAGGTCTCAGAGTTAAACTGTGAGACTTCTCTTGTTCAGAAGAATTGATTACTTGCAAAAAGTGGTTCGCTTAGTTTAGTCGGAAGATATATCATTTCACCAAGATAATCAAAAATAATTTTACCTATGCCTATAGCCGATACCGAAATTGAGTGGAACTGGTCGTAATTTCCTATTTTATACATATGACAAATATGACACACTTATAAACAAGTTTATAATAACCAACTAATGAACTACCTGGTCTAGAAACTTATAAAAATTAAAACAAACCAATAAAACGTAAAAAGCCTAAACAGTAACAACAATGACAATAATATTAATAATAATAATATTACATATTATTATAAAAGTGCCGAAGAAATATCTGAATATAATGACTGGTTCACAGTTCACAGTTGCATGAATGAATGTATTTTTCCAACTTTTTGGAAAACACTGAAGCTTCACAAGCATTTCAAATATAGCGGGGTTTCTATATTTTAAATACTTTTCTGAAATTGGAATTTCATTTTGCACAATATTAATTACTTAAAAATCGTATGTAAAACTACGAATTTTGGAGATGGTTTTTTCAACTTTATGGGGATTTGTAAATTCATTATTTGGTATGTCTGCTTACATCGTTACCTGGTCCGACATATCTCGTGTCCTTAGATTTACGGTCCATGTTTGACCCAAGTGGGTAGTTTTTTCGATGTTGTTTGTGATGTGGATGTGTGCGTTCGTACAGTGATAGAATTTTACATATGCCACGGAAAATCAACCGCTGCGATTTTGTATAGGCATTCCTTATCTTTAGTTCTATATAAGTTTCGTTTTATTTTTCAACGGTTAATTGTATGTAATGCTTGAGTCGGTTTTGGGTTGAGATTGTTCAATCATATCAAAATTTATTAATTAATTTATTAATTAAGCCTCAAGAAAATATTTTGTTTCTGTTATTTACCAAATCTGTTCATTAAACAAAGTAGTTTTGTTTAATAGTTGCGGGCAATTTTGTTGGTCGCTTCAAATATAATCAATGAAACTTTCAAACCTGACGAGGGCTGGCTAAAAGTTTATGCAGACGCTGTTGTCAAACTTAGAATAAATTACTTTTGAACAATACATTAAAGCATTTTAAGGAACTGTTGCTCTAATATTAGCATCCAATAATAAAGTAATTATCCAGTGACCCGTTATTTTATGGAGTGACAAATTATGTCAGAATCTGTAAAAAATATCGATAATAGATACACACAAGTTTTTTTGATTCACCTACACTCTAGAATATAAGGATAGGAGCATAGCATGGGTATATCGGAAACCACAGGCAATACAGGCTCGGAAGAGGTTTTAAATAATATTATGGGAAACTTAAATCTGTCCGTAAAAGTATTCTAGCATGAATTTTTGACCATAGATTTTTTTTGTGGGGTCCATTTTGAATATTCTCATTATTAAATTGAGCAAGGCAAATGCTTTTATCATATATCATTATTCTTAGAGGCACAAAAGTAAAATTTGAGCTTCTATGTGGTAGGTTATGAATGCTTTCAATAGATATTAAAAAACAAAAGTTTTGACAGTTCAATTATTGCTATGAACATAGGCTTTGACAAATAAATGAATTTATCAACAAATGCCATATTTGAGAGTCTAACTTGTTAATTTAAAAATTGAAAGAAATTTGTCCTTTAGGAATAAGTTAGAAGTGCTATTGTGTGCCATAGTAATACACGAGAAGCTGAAATATTACAGCCAAATAAAAAGGATAAGAATATTGTACTGCTAGCTGTTATCCAAGACCTACAACATTGGTTAAAAATATACGAGTGGAACGCCAAAATTTATAGCATATTTTATTTTGCGTAGGACCAAATATCGTCCAAACAAATTTCAAATCTACTAATGACTTGGCCCTGGCGGTAACCTGAGGAGAAGGACATTTTGTGAGTGGTACACCAGAGTATGCCAAGATCATGAAAATGTTGTTAATACATTTTTAAATTCTTCCTAAAATCTTCTGTTTCTGGCGTACATGTTTTGCATTTGCAGGTCAAAATATTTATTCTTTATTATACAAATGAGACTGATTTCTCTGTAGAAGGAGCTGTTTAGTGGTCTAAGTTGATATTTTAAAAATAATTAAATACAAACTGATCAAACAATAACATTAAAAAATTTAATGAAAAAATCGTGCAGTCATTTTTGTTTTCAAAATATAAGTACATCATTGTCATAATTTTGTCGTATTAGAGATATGTACAGTTACCTATTTCAAAAAGTCGCAATAATTTTTTTTTACAGTGTAAAAATGTTATACAACTTTTGACTTCTTTGAGATTTAGATTGAATTGGAAACGAATACATGAGTTTTGCACTTTTTGTAGTTTGGCTTTAGTCACTAAATCCAAATAGGGACCAAATACCAAATTGCAATAGTTTGCGTGACACAAGACTAACCCTTCAGACAATTATTTTTTTAACTTTCTGTTAAGAATCTGTTTGTTTTTGTATAAGTTCCTTATGTTAGAATAACCTTTTTGTATAGTTTTAGAAACATGAGCCATGAACCTTAATTTATTATCAAAAATAAAGTTTTTGCATTTGGAGGCAACCGGTATTTTAAGATTGTTGATTCAAATGTCAAGCAGCTTACTAGCCCAATCCCAAGTAAATAATGACCGACTTATTTGGATTTAACATTAATTAAAACTTCCATTTGACTTCTTTAAAACTAGAGCAGCCTCAGATCTTGGGAAATTTGCATATAATTGGGTGTCATCAGCGTACTGATGTATGTTGCACTGCTCAATGTAATCAATCATATCCGAAGTGAAGACCACAAAGAAGAAAGAGCCCAGAAGTATACCTTGAGATACACCTCAGTCCAACACTAGTGTCCCCGACCTCCTATTATCAATCTCTACTATCTGTGATATTTTTTCTAAGTAACTACGAATTTATCTGACTGTTTTGGCTTTAAATTCATAATAAAAGAGTTGTGCACAGAAAAGGGAATGACTAAGGGTGCCAAAAGCCTTACTATTGTCCAGTAATACTCAAACTGTCAATTCTCCCTTATCGGCAGCCAGCAGAACATTATCGAGAACTTTTAAGAGAGCTGTTAAGGTGCTGAAGGACTTACCAAACCCAGACTGACATTTTGGCAAAACTGCATTTGTATCAAAATAATGAATTATTTGTCTGTAAATTAACTTTTTGATAGAGTTGACAATAAGCTAATGCCTCTAAGATCAGATACATTCTTTGGAGCACTAACTTTACCTAAAGCCAAAACTATTACAACTTTTCTTCGTTCAGGAAACTCGATGCATGAATTAAAAAGGTGTGTTAACACGGGCACGATTGTTGAACAGCACAGTCTTACCATCTCAAAAGCTATTCCATCATTTCCTGAAGCATTGGACTTTAATTGGGATAAAGCCCAGACTAGGTCATCATTACCTCCCAATGCCAATTCGAATTCTTTATTTCAACACTTTGAACTTAGATAACTCCTAATGGTTTCAGTGCTAGGAGGATGAGAAATTAGTCTCACAGAGTCTATAAAATGCTTTTTAATTCAATTTGGATTTCTAAGGTGAAGCGGTGTCTCATTGGTGTTCGTTGATCTTTTGAAAACAATTTCAATGATCGAGAGTTGAACACTCCGTGCGATTAGTGAAGTTAAGCTTTTTTTTCTAGTCGAACGTCAAATATAAATAAGTTTGTAATTTCTTTATAAGCTTCCCAATTTTTTAAATTTTTGGATTTTTTATATTTAGAAAGAAGTTCGTTACGTTTAAGGACGATCTTGGAGTTCTTTAAAAGATTTATGTTGATGTCGTCTATTGCAACAAGCTCATCCGCTAATCGCACAATAACAGCAATTGAGATTTCGAGAATTTGACGAGCAGTAAAAACATTAAAGCAAGGTGGGCGGTAAAAAATTCCTAAGCCTAATTTAATCTTACCTAATTTTAGTAGTAACCACTGTTATTCAAAATCATTTCACCCTTTAATTTGAACCTCAAAATCACCAAAACTCGTAGACAGCCAAGACTCGGAAACTTCCAAGCTCTGGTTTAATAAAAAAAAAAGTGCATTTGCAGTCACCGCAAAAAAGTTTTAAACATCTTTTGCCAACAGTTTTACAACAGATCTTGCACTCCTCATTACAGACTATTTTAAACAAAAATGTATGATCCCCGCAAGTTGTAAAATATATAAAACTTGTTATCCTGTTGAATTTGGCAACGCGGAATCGATGCCGCTAGCTGTAGTACCGTTTTTTCGTGGTCGTTTCAAGGGTCAATGTCTAAGTTGTCGATAATACTAGCACAGTTTAGTTATGTGTAACTGACAGTAATCCCAAAGGGGCGGTAACAATTGTGCAATCACTTATATTTCACCATAATAAAGTACCCAATAGAACAAACGCTAATTATTTCAACCAAAATCGTTGGTAAAATTCGCACTTTTATCCAACAACAAAACAACACGTTCATCTTGCGAAGTTCCATAAGAAACAGAAGCCACTTTTATATCATTATATTATATTATATTATTTATCCTGCCACTTGTTGGACCTTAAGTCTCGAGCTATCCTATTGAAAACTGTGGAACACAAAAGTTATATTTTGGATTGGTTCTGCAATTTCCTGAACTTGCAAAGATCAATATTTTTCTCTTTTTCAGATTCTAGTGAATTCCTCGACAGAAGTTAGTTTTCTTTTTAAATCCATCTCGGAATTTGAGCGTATTATTTTATTTGAAGTTGTTTTTAAAGTAGAGCGAGGGAACCGAAAATATACATAAAAAAATTAATAAAAATTTAAAATAAAAATTAAAGTCATGGTGCTACTTTTATAAGGAAGCGGCAACATATTTATAATTAATAGAACACCATTCCTTCGTATATCGCATCTTTGATAAACATCTAACCTGTGATTTACCGTGAATCATCAAGCGAAATCCTTTGCTTGTTTCAGAACCAACCAGTGCCAAAGGTGATAGTAATGGGGTCCAGTACAGCGTCAGAGACAACAATCAATACTTCAACAGACAGCTCAAATACCATAGTAACCACGGTAACAGCTACCGATGGGGAACAAACTGAGGGCAGTTTAGACGCGGCCGAGCAAATCGATTTCTTCTCTACCGACACTATGTTGGATAGCAAAAATGCAATTCTTCAGCCGTTACAGGTAGCCCCCGTTAGTCCGAAGACCCCGGCCACCGCCAAAGCAGAAACTCCAGCGACCACCAGAATGGACATGAGGTTTACCTTTGACTTGGAGTCTTCCAAAGATGACAGCACACCAAAAGCTGTGGCGATATCATCAGAGCGGCGGTTTAATTTTGACGAGGTACCGGTTCCAATGGAAACGGAACCGATTTTCGAGAAGAAGTCGGACAAATCCGTAGATGTATTGATGGAAGAGCAGGTTGAGCAAATGAAACAAGAAGCAAGAAGACGCAACAGCTATAAACAGGCAGCTCAAATCGACCAAATGGACATTGAGAGCGATAGCAAATTGTACCGGAGGGATTCGCAACAGATGGATGTGGGCGGAGTGATGAGTGACAGTAAATTGCACAATCAACGGCAGAGGGAGCACAGACGGAGTTTTAGAAGAAAGTTGGAAGTCAAAGAAGAAAAACCGGAAAGGACGTCACCCAAACGCAGAGCTGAGAGGGGGTTAAATTCTTCTCCCGAAAACGAAACCGAATCGCCCAAACCTAAACATAGGTAAGAACTTTTACTTTCTTTTATTGTTTGCTCATTTTACATTTATTTGATGCAGAAGAATTCGAATTAAAGAGAGTAACCCCTAGAACTAATATGAAGGGAGTGAAAAGGCATAATAAATTAATACCATCTTGAAACCAGGCGTTGAAATAAAGTAATAGGAAAGTGTTAAAACTCTAAATATATGGAGAGAATTTAATTAATGTTCATTACATTGCAGTAAAAACATTTGTACATGATACGTTTACGCCATAAAAGACCACAAGAACATTTTGCAGAATCGACTGGAGGTTCCCTGGAGAAAAACATGGAATTGTACAGATTCGAAAAGACTCTTTCCGATCAGTTAATCCTGTCAAGTATATTAAAGAAACTCTGGTAGAACATTTTCAATGCAAAAGGCTAACACCTTTAATAAACAAAATAACGATGACAAGAGATTGCTGTATTAGTAAGTGTCGAGGCTGAATATTGAGGAAACTGTCAATATTTAAAACCAATGTAATGTATTGTAGAATTTGTTTATTATTATCAGTAATTTTATCAAGGAGTTTAAGTTTAAAAAATGGTTATTTAAATTTTTTCTTTGCTTTAAATTTGCTTGTGGACATTTTAATACCTATAATTTCATAACGAACTTACGTTTTTCTTATAATATTTTTAAGAGTTTGCGTAAGACGTGCAAAGCGTGACATCACTTTAAAGAGAAAAAAAAGGTGAAATACAGGGTTTACCTAGAAAACGATTTGTGTAAAAAAATTGTTGGAAAAATATCTGTCGAAAGCAGTTTTTAATCTTTTTTCTATATGAGAGGGTGTGAGGAATACGGTATTACCGCAAAAGGCGCAAAATTTTTATTTCATCCCATATCTCGGGAGCGAAAGAAGGTGGCATAATTCTGCTTGCGTCATTCAAAATTTCACGAAAAACTGCAACAGGTTTGCGAAAACCTCAAAGTTACGCAGAAACGTTGTGATTACAATTTGGGACACAGTGTGCAGGCTAACAACATCCACGAAAAAAAGGAAGACAACAAAAAAGAAAAGAAAAGGTGTGTTTTTTAACTAAACCGTTTCAAATTGTCAGTAACTGGACTTAATAAATTGCAGGAATGTAATTATTTGTAAACCGTGCTGAGATATCGTATCGTTTGTGCCTCGAATGCCAAGTTACCGCGCCTTCTGTTCAAAAGACCGAATTATATTCTAGTTCGCATGTGATAAATGTTTCGCCCACGAAGTGGCAACAACAAAGTTTACAGTTACTGAGAAAGCTGAACGCGATCAACAAATACCTAAGAAATTGTTTTGTTTTCGGTGAGAGGCAAAAATTTGGCGGATATTCGCGCATAGATAAGTGCTGCTCTTGCTACATACCGGGCAACTCACCACTGCGAGATTATTTTGTATCTCCATTTTATTAAAAAATTTCAAATAAAAAAGTTGTTTGCAAGAAAACGTTGCATGCAATGAACGATTATACCGATTATCTTATAACAATCTCATAGCTCCCAACTTTCTTATTTTAATTGGAGCACCCGGTATATTATTCCATTTATATTCCTCATCCTATACTTGATTCCTATAGTTTCTTAGGATATCTGGATTATTTTCAAAATTTTGAAAAAAGTAACAGTATTGCATACAATGCTGAATTTAACCAATTTTGACTGGTAGTAAGTGTGGCAAACGGAAACACAAAAATTGTCATTTCGAAATTGATATTAAAATCCGATTTATTGTTTACAGGGTGTTCAAAATTTACCAACCAATTACATTTTCAAAGCTGCAAAACTTCGCGCAATCCAAAGGCTTCTTTAGAAGTGGTTAAAACAGTTTATTTCGATGAACACTCGAAGAAAATATTAAAGTGTGCTGTAATTTTGGCAAGGTAATAAGTTGTTTTCATTTTTTAAAAAATATACAGGATTTTCCATAAAAAAAAAAATATTTTGGTGTAGATAAATATTAAACAATTTCTTTTCAAAATATTTCATTTCTACTTATAGCGGGAGATCTTTTCGTAAAAACACAATAATCTCCATAGCAAAAAGTTGAATGGAATGGAAAAAATAAATTCCGATAATTCAATACAATATTCGCCTAAAATTAAAAATAACCGAATCATCACCATGTTTATCTGTTCTAATAAATTGACCGTATACGTCCAAAATGAAAATCGATGCGTCGGAAGATTATTCTGCCGTCAAAAAGCAAGTCATAGCATGACATGTATCTAGTTCATTAGTGAATGTCGTATATTGAAACAGGAATTTTGTTTCTCAGCTATAGAATCCATGTCAAAAGCTGCGTCAAGACATACAGATCATTTTTGATTACGTTCTTATAAGTGACGTAACTGCACAACTGATCTGCCTATTGTTTAAATTATATTATATGTGGATGTAGATTTCAAATTAAAAAGTATCAATCCTGTTATCTTTAAATTTACGTTATTTTTGTATAATAGAAGCTTTTATGACCTCTAAAAGATTTGCAAAAATTTTAGTTAAAATTTACAGGGTATTTTCTAAAGATACGTTTATCTGATTTAATTGTAAATGTGATATTCAAATGTATTTATGCCTCCATCTTAATCACTATAAAAATATTACTTTGCTAATTGAGCTTCATATCTCTAATAACAAAAAAGTAACTATTCTAAGTAGGTTGGCAAACCACTATGAACCCAATATTGCTTCACGTGCTTTCTTAAAGCATACTAACCAATTTGTTGGTTATTTTGTACCACAAGAATATTTTTGCAAACTGATCAGATACGTGCGTACTTTTCTAGTGGTTTATATAGTGATTACAAATTTTAAATAGTGGTGGTAAGCTAATTGGAGAGAGCAGAAACTAGCTAATAATTGAAGCGGATTTGCAACAATTGGAATAGTTTGAGTAAATCCAGGTGGTTTATAAATTAGTGTCAAGTCAAAACTTATTAACCTGATTACCAATGTGTACTAAGTTACCATTACCAGTTGTAAATTTTTACTTTTTTTTAACTTTTTATGTCGTAAATTTTTAGTAAAAGAATTAAATTTGCTGCGAAGCCTTTTAGCATTTCAGCAATCGTTGTCAGGTTTTTGCCGCAAAAGAAATAACATCGTCGAGACTCAGTTTAAAAGTATACCACTGCTAAGTTATAACTAATAACTTACTCTTTTTCAATATTTGAGTTTTGAATTGCAAAAGTTTCTACTTCCGTTTGAAATTGCCATTACCAATGTTTTTGTTTTAAACGCTGGGTGATAATTTTTTTTGACACATTTATATTAAAATGAAAAAAAAAGAACTTTAAGTGGGCAACACTTTTTTAAATGGAGGCGATTTTGTTAGTTCTCAAGTGATTGATGTTCAGTTTGGTTCGACATTTCAACATGAATAGACTGACGACTGACGGCTGAACAACGCTTCCCAATTGTGCAACTTTATTTTGAAAATCATGGTTCTGTTGGAATCGCGCGTATGGCGTACTACTTCCATTATACGGTCAACATAATCGTCAATCAGATCAATTAATTCGAATTAATACTACGTTCAGAAGAAGTCATTTCTGTCGTAGGGTGTAGCATATAGGAAGACTAGAATGAGTCTATCCGCTATCATGCATAGGAATTGGATATGTGTCCATCTACTTTATTGAAGATTTTGCGTGAGCCCAAGATTGCCATTGATTCCGATTCTCATAAGCGAATTTTGTTTGGCGCAGAAGCTCACTTTTGGTTGAATAGATACATCAGTGTATGGTGAGTCACCATTACATCCAGAAAAACTGACTGTTTGGTGTGCTTTATGGGCAATTGGTCCGTATACTTCTTTAAAAACGTTACTGTCAATGATGGACCGCTATAAAGCCACGATTACTGACTTTTTCATTCATCAGTTAAACAACAATGGTGGGAAGGAGCTGTGGTCTCAACAAAACAACACAACATGTGGCACAGCTAGTGCCACAATTGATTTATTGAAGGAAATGTTTGGTAACTGCATAGTTTCACGTTTTGGACCCGTGAATTGGCCTCTAAGAACGTGCGATTTAACGCCGTTAGACTGTTTTCTGTGGAGATATGTAAAGTCGCTAGTCTATGTCAATAAGCCTGAAACGATTGACCACTTGTTATTGCCGATATACGGCCACAAATGTTGGAAAAAAGTAATTGAAAATTGGACCAGAGCCAGGCGGTCATATGTCAATTATAATGTGACAAGATTATCTTTAGAATAAAGTTAATTTTACGTCAATTTAAAAAACTCATCTTTGTTTCATTCCATTTCAAAGTTCTATACCCCTCAAAAGAATCACCCGTTATTTGAAAAGAGCAAGTCTTAATGATGGTTATGAAAGCTTCCCTATTGCTTTCTTGCCATTAAAAAAATACGAAGAGATTTTTTTTCTTTTACGATAAATTTAAATTAAAAAAGTATGCCTAATCCATCAGTAAAATATTTGGATAGGGCAAGTTTTAATGGTAGTTGTGCCAACTTCCATATGAAATTAGCATTAGCAGTTTTTTTTTAATCGCTATGCGACACGATTTTTTTTCAATACGCCAAATTTACGATAAAAAAGAGATGGTAATGCTAACTTCCGCATGAAATTAAGTTTTGGTTAGTTCATGTGAAAATCATTAAAAACGTGAAAGTGTTCCTATACGTCAATGATCACGCTTCATGTAAATGTTACACTCTGAATGGTTATACTTTGCTGTCAGTAATCTGTCGTTAATCATTGAAAACGTATTTTAATAATACTTCAAACATGCTCCCACCAAATTGATCGTGTTTTCACGTGTCACTGATTAATTTTGAAAAAATGTGAACGAAATCGCGGCTGTGAGTGCCAGGAGACCCGACAATATCAAACGCTTGCAATTAGTTTAGCAGCGCGAACAAAGGATAATTAATGCAGATATTATATCGGAGATTTCAACGTGTACCTGACGGAGTGACAAATTTGCAATTAAATGTTGCGTGCTGATTAAAATGTTAAGCCTATGCGTATAATGTTGAAGTTTTGTTCAACTGATAACGAGTTAATGTGCGTTTTCTCGAAAATTCCACCTCTACAGTTATTGCTACGATTTTTGTATTTATAAGAAAAACCTAAAAGAAGTTATAAACTGAAAATATACCAAAATCAAAAGTACAAAGTAAAAAATGATAAAATAGCCATTGCGCTAATAAAAATGTAATGCGATGAGAATATTTTAACTTTTGACATTTAATTATTGACTAGAAAATTTAAATTACAAAGCCTTTCTTGGAACAACCTAGAATTAAGTCCAAGGAACTTCATACAAGTAATTACGGTAACTAAAAAATTGAGGTTTACACTCTTCCCTGTGATTTTTTAATGGAATACCCCGAATATCTTTTATTAATATTATTTTGCGTTAACATAAAGCACAGCAGAAAGAAAAAAGACATAAATAAATATAAGAATTACGAAATGTCACGTCTGTTTGACAACTAAAGTATATTAGGAAACGGGCACTTTTGTTCACAAAAAAAAATCAGGTATTATTGACATTATTTGTTATTTGGTATCAGTCTACTGAAAAAAAAGTTTAAATTGGATAAAAAAATTTGTTCGTTTCCGTAGAAAATTGAGTACACTACTGGATAAAACTTAAAACACGCTACCTTTTCGGGGTATCTAAAAATGTACCCTGCTACCTTAAAATGCAAGGTAGCTATGACGTATGATACTGTATAAAAATAGCTATAAGATATTATTAACTGGGAATCAATAGCAATACAATTACCAAAGCAATTTTTTGCACAAAATTTCTTTCCATTTTAACAATTTCTGTTTTTTTTATGGAACCATTTCGTTGTTTTAGACACAAAAAATCTAGCAGACGTCATCAATCTTCTACAGGGTATTCGAAACACGGTACAGGCGACAAATTTGTTTACGATGAGAAACACGTAGCTAAAGTGGCAGCTAGTACAAGAAACAATCAAAGTCGAATGACACCGCCACTGCCCGATCTGCGAGTAGATTTCTTCAGGTGAGCAACCTATTATGAGTTTTTCTGCTAAATGTAGCTGTACCAAACTTCACATTCGGTACATTTTGTTCGAATTATGTAATATAAGATTAGGTTTGGTTATTTTTGGTTTAAAAGTTTTACAGGGATTCTCATCATTTCTCATAGTACCTTTCCTAGTTTAAATCGAACACTTGGTACATTATTTTATATTTGGATTTCCAAGAAATTTTACTTAAATTTAATCCCAATAGTTTCTATATTGAATACTATAAAAAAAAAGAAGGATAAACCATTATTATGAATAACGCGTCGTCTTCTAACCTCATTTATGAATCATAGTAATGGTCTGTATGGTAAAATAAAACATAAGAATCGTTCTTTCGAAATTGGCATTGAGGACTAATTTATCGCTTACTTTGCAAAACTTCTATTTTGCAAATACGGCATATTGTCGATGATATGATGCAAATTTTAATTTTATATCCATTGGAAGCTGCCCATACCTATTTTTAATGGTTTTCTTGTTATTTCGTCTTTTCTATCAAAAGTCAACCAAACCCGCACGTTTTTTTGACCAAGTTTGACCTGATTCTGGTTTTATTTACTTCAAAGAAGAAAAGGCACTCTGGAACATATAGATGATCATGATTTCTGGTCCTTGAATTTTCTACTCCGTGATTTTGACTACTTTAATTCAAGATGCAAATCGAATATTCATTGTGCTAGGAATACTAGGGTTTATTAAGTGTTTGATCAAAAATGTAGTCACATTGAAGCAATTATTTTATTGATTTCGTTTACCTTCATTTAGTTTTTTTTTGTATTCCAGGTTTTATCATTTATTGATTGTTAAAATATTTGTGTTTCGATTTCATTTAAAGTGAATTTTTGTCGTCTGCTGCACTCATTTTATTTCTTAGAACAAAGCTATCTGGTAGTTTCCGTCAAATATTGTATTAAAATGGAAAATATGGATTAACAAAGAAATACTATTGGAAACAGGTTTGATAAAAAACACAGTCAACATAATAAACATGTTAAAGTGAATTAATAAAGGTGGTTGTTTCAAATTTTCAAAAAGTCAAAAAATTTTAATTTTATAAATAACATAATCTTTGAATTGCTTCCGTGTATGACATAAGCCTTTATATGCAATTAAAAATAATTTTGGATGATATAACATTATATCATATCATTATTCACAATTGACCTCTCAGATGCGGAAATCCATAGATCTTAAATCAGGTGTTCTAAGTGGACAGTTCTAGCACTTTCTAACCCTTTTGAAGTAAACAAAACCAAGAACATGTTAAACCTTGTCTATAAAATAAGGAAGGTAAGTGCTGTCAGACGCTGACGAGATAACCTGTATAATTGCAAGTTTTTTCGTTATTCAAGAATACAACTTTGCTATTTAAAAGTTTGATATTGAGTTCGTGTTTCAGTTTTGTTCGGCGTTCATTAATACAGTGACATTTAATTTGCCGCCACTATGAATAGCGATCACATTAACTTCTCATGTGCGGCTTTCATAATTTTGTGTTACGCATCCTCCAATAAAGAGAGGGCAAGAATTAATAGGATTGGATGACAGTTATTTAAAAAAAGTGAAATATGCAGCGGCACTCCATTTTAAAATAAAAAAAATCCGTTAAATTAAAGTCTAACAATGTAGATATATTTTAGCCAACACTGCGCAAATGAGAATCGCAAGTACACGTCCTAGCCAAATGTGTTGCACCAAGGGTATCGCCCGAATAGTTTTGCAACATTCGCCAACATTCTACGCGGCTCGGCGCACTAAGCTGGACGAACTTTTATTGATATACCAGGTGTTCCAGAAAGGGCATCGAGGTACGATTTTAGGAAAACAGGCGATCCTAGAAATTTGAACGAAATGGTTTATATTTTAAAAATCGATGGCTACCAAAAATTGTAACGTTTACCATAAATAAAAAAGTACAATCCTACTCCTACTCCTAATTCTATGTATTTAATGCTGTTTGCTCTTTCTCTGCAAAGCATTTATTATTTTCTCGGATTTTTTTTGTCATGAATGCCACCTGGTGGTAGTCTAAGAAAAAGAATTTTTAACGAAGTTCATTATAAGCGTCAAACACCATCCACACCATCTTCCTTGCAGAGATAGAGCAAACGTTATTGCGGAAATCGAGCTCTAAAATTCAATATTACAGTTTAGCTCAATAGTGGTCATTTCAGAAACTAATTTAAAAAAATAATTTTCAGCAGTTTCTCTTGGCCGGATTACTTAATAGTTTGTTTTTACTTTCTTGAAACGTCTGTTTCCCTAATACCGTACCTTGTTGCCCTTACTGGAATGCCTGGTATAAAGGAATCCCAGAAGAATTGCTTTCACTACTTATTTTAAAACTCTATTTTTGACGAGTTAAAACAGAAATACTTATTTACGTACAGCGAATCGCTCGACCGTCGCCGGGCTAGCATACTCGAATTACTTGGTACTCCACCTCCCATCTCGATTGAGAAACGGGGCAGCGTTTGTCTCAACAAATGCCTCAGAGAAGTCGGCGCCCAGTTGGAGACTTCCGCTAATTCACCCATCAACGTCACGACCAATCCCCTCGAGAATTCCGTTCATTTCGGTAGAAAAGCACCCCAAGCGACGATCGTGGTTCAGCAACCGTCGATGTCGTTAGACCAGGCCAACGTGACGTCAACTATCCTGCTGAGAAACGGGTGCGAGTTTGTCGGCAACGTGACGCAACAGGATACGAGCGGCAGCGACGCCGCAAAACTCGCGATGTTGAGGACTCAAAAAGAAGAGAATATGAAGCAGCTACTGGATGTTGCGAATAATTTGACGCTGGAGGAGATCCACGATTTCGAAATGAGGTAAAATTACAAACAAATATTTTGTTGTCATTATTTATTTACTGATGCAAACAAGGTTACTCAATAAACTGCCAATTATAGAGCAACATAAATTTATAACAATAAGAATAATTATAAAATCTATCAAATTTACACAAGGTACATAAAATAAAGTGCTAACCTAAAAAATAACGCTAAGGGCAAATAACAAAGCCTATGAATATGCAAACAGCAATCTCAGTGAAACATAATAAAAAATTTTGTTGGTAATAAATAATTATAAACCAGCAAAATATCAAAACACTGCCTTTTGAACTTCAGTTATTGCAAGCGATACATTTTCTTTTACTTTAATGTGTTTTTGTCGATTGAAACGAGAATTAAGAGCATTAATGAATTTTGTTTGAATACTCTCTATTCGATCCATGTAATAAGTACATCGGACCCGAAACTGTTGACGAACGTTCCGGAATAGTTCTTACCATACTGCAGTGTAATGTAATTAAAGAAGCTGGGTTCCTAAAGCCCTCAGTAGTTCTCAGAATAAATCCTAATTATGAAGTGCTTTCCTAATGAGAACCTCTATAATGGACCCGAGCAATAGTTTAGATTCCAGAATAACTCCTAAATCATTAACAACTCTAATACGTTTAGCTATATTGTTTAATTCTAAATTGATATTTAATAAAGGTGGACCATTGCTTATGCTTATATCATGAAGATATACTGAGAACACTGTATAGTGCATCCAAAAGTTCGTTATTGAGAATCATTAAGAGAACGATTAAGAAACTCATACTTGGTTATTTTCACCAAGATTAACAGGATGATTTCCAGATATGCATTTTTGATTATTTCGATAGTCTCTTGTGATAAGGTAAAAATGGCTAATGTAGAATTCCAATGGCGTGAAAAAACATCTTTTATTTCATTGGTATATTAGGGCAAACAATACTACTTATTTTGGTTCTTTGCTTGATTATCACGCTCTGTCTCTTAAGCGCCCAATAAGCTATTATTTCTACACCATGCTGACATTCTCAAGGGTGTTGCACTCATCCGCTGTCTCAAATGGGCTATATATACTTCAAGACACACTGTCTAGATTCAATAAGATTGCCTTCGAAAAATCGTCACTAGGCGGGGCAAATTCGTAGCGCGTAGCGCGAAGCAGTTTTTTATTAAAAAAGGCTTAAAGAGCTTCGCGGTTTCGTGTGGTAAAGGGACGCATTGTTTTTCTATCGTGCTCCTGCGGACCAATATGGAACTTTCGGAAAATTGATGTAATTTAATTGTGCATGCATCATATCTCGTCGAACTTCAAAGTTACAGCAAACATCGGTAAATATTAAAATGTGCACAAATAATAGCGTTGTCGAACGATATTTTTTCAAATATCTCGCGTCCCGTATAATTGACGAAACCTGAAACTCTCTTACGACACGCTTTTCGATACTGTTCAAATAAAATTATTCCATCTTTAACGGTTTTTCATTTATCGCCAATAATTTAGCCACAAAAACGGAAATTTTTAGGATATTTTAGATTTTTTGCCCATGAACGACACACTCTGTATATGATGCAATCATTGTTCGAAGTAGAAGTTATAGCCCTGGATTTTCCACGCGTCCTGGTTCAAGAATTTTTTGAAAATAGTAAATGGTTTTCGAGAAAATAAAATTTTTCTGAAACCATGCAGTGCGCCGTAATAATCTTGACAGTCCCCGAAATAGCGATTTTAATATAGATTTTTTCAAATATCCCGAGCAGCGTTCAAGATAGACTAAAACCCGAAATACAAAAATTGTAGTTCTTGATGAGGCCTATGACACCGTTTGAAATAATTAGCCATATTTTTTACGATTTTTTCTAGGTCTTATAGATTTTTGCCTATAATTTGAAAACTCTGTACTGGATCTTCTGCGTCTGTCGGTTAAAGAATTTTGCCAATCGGGTGAACGATTATGGAGGAAAACATATTTTTCTGGAAGCCAAAATTACCAAAAAAAAAAAAAGAAATATATTTCAAAAATACTCGGTAATATTTAATTGCCTCAATTTCTACAGTTTAAATGTGGACACGGACTTTTACTTCTTTGCTAAATTTGAAGTTGATCTCTGCAAATTTAGGAAACTTAACACAAAATTTTCATTTAGCATGGAATATCAGGAACACCCTGTACAATAGGTGAAAACCTTAAATACAAAAGTTTTTGCTATCTATGTGGGCTATATCGCAATATTAAAGAAATTGAGATCTGAATCATAGTCTTTCAGTTATAACCAATTTTCAATAATAAGGGACCCATTTCTCAGTTTTTTGAATTTGCGGCGCATCTTGTATATTTTTGAAAAATTGTCACAAATAAAAGTTTATAGAGCCGTATCTTCTGTTTCTCTGGTTCAAGAATTTTTTTGGTCTCGTAAATAGTTTTTGAAAAATGATGTTTTTTGTAGACCCTTACACGCGCGATTTTTTATTTTTTTAGAATACTTCCCGACTCCCCATCCCCCTAATTTTCAATCGGTTCCGTCACGGAGCAAAGCTGCATACATGTGCCAAATATGAAATCGATTGCTTCAAATTTCGGACACTTATCGTGTTTCATAGCAAGGTCCAAAAAACAGTCGAAAATCGCGAAAAAAAGATGGTTACCGGCGTCGGATCAGGGCCATTTCTAATAAGCTTATGTGCCTCGTGGAGGGTTAAAAAGGAGGCAAATTTCAATATTGTGGGTCCAACGGTTCAAAATTTATTCAAGAAAAACCAAAAGACGAGAACGGAGAACGGACAAACAGAAAAAAAAAATTTTTTCGACTGTGATCATTTCTGTACCAACGGCGATCCCATAGGAGCTACCGTTACCGAGATATAAATTTTTTATACGAGCGCAGATACTTTCGAAAAATTCAATTTCATCGATTTTCGAAAGTAACAAGTCAATTTTATATTTGGGATTACCCAGTAGGATTTTTAAATGATTTTTTCTACGCGTACTCCAAAATACTATATTATGAATTGTCCAAACTTGCGGAAAGTGTAACTTTAAGATGTCAACTTCCTTATTCTGACATTTCCGATACTTAACAGTCACAGATTTGGAAGCCATGGGATTTTCGGTAAATCTTATCAATGGTAGCTTGAAATTTATCAATTCTAACGGTTAAATCACACAGCACTCTCGGCACCCAAAAACTAATGGTCGTAGAAAAAGTTAATAAACTTAAACTAAACTCACTCGTTTTTTAAACACTTTCTTCGCTTTTGTCACTTGTGATGATGGCAACCAACTGAATTAGATATTATATTCGTGTTCAATTTTTCTCTAGACTTTTAAAGTCAACTGATTGTGATTTCTGATAACATTAGTCCTTAGTAGATGCTTTCGATGCTTTAAATAGTAGATTCTCGACCATTGACTATAATTATGAGATGTAGTAGTTAGAGTTCGCCCGACGATATACCGTTTTTACGACTAACCGCAGGCCTACCTCGCTTGGGTCTCTCTTTGTAACCCGCAATCAACAATGATGTTCCAGAACCGTGCTTCGGTACTTCGTGCATACAAATGCTGAAAGCTGACGGATTTGTGTAGAGTTTCATCGGTGAGATTCCTCAATTATTATTAGTCCATGTAGTGAAAAATCCATTCTTACTCTAAAATGTTTATTATAAATGTAAATGAAGGAATAAATTTAACTATAAAACAATGAATATCAAAATAATCTCTATCGTCACTAAATTCGTCCCCCACAGTAATAATTAATTCTGGCACTAGTCGACATTTTCTTCTTAGATGATTAGTTCTACGAATTTTTTCCACCTAGAAGCAGATATTTTTTTCTACTTCACTTCTAATTAATTCTATTGCCTCAGTACTAAATTTCGGCGACGTGTTGTTTCTTCTTAAACTGGGTTTCAGCTGTTCCCATATCAGTTCTATCGTATTAAAATTGAAGTGATATTGTGGAAGGGGCCAGACCAGGGCCAACTTGTCCACATGATACTTCTTATCAAACGTTTCTGTCTTAAAAACTTCCAATAACTGCTTCTTTGTGGAGAAATTTTCAAAATACAAGCAAAAAATTTTGAATGACCGGTATTTTTTCGCTTGTGCGGAATGGTAGCTGGCGTTGTCCAACACGACAACACTATTCGGTGGAACATTGGGAAACAATTTTTCAGAAAACCATTTTTCAAAGATGACACCTATTGCAAAAAGGCAACAAAGCATTATTAACCCAACCAGCTCCAGAGACCGCATGTAGTATCATAATTCGTTTGCTCCGCCAAACTGGCACATCCAACAACCATTTCCTGCTGTTACCATCAGTCAATCCTTTCTTGACGGTATCGTGGCTATTAAACCAGTTCCCATCTATATATATGATGGGGATGTTTTAAGCACGAATTTCTTGGATTTCTGTCAAATATCTTGTCCTTTACTCCGAAATTCATCTTGATTCCATCAAAACTTCTCTCTTATTGATGGTTTTGTAATAAAAACCAATTCTTCGTACCAACGCACCCAAAGTCTCTTAACAACAGTCAATGATTAAATCACTACGCTACTCTTCATGTATAGTTTTCATTGTTAAAACAACATTCTTCTGATGTCACTATGTTATGGTGCATATCAAGTAGACATTTTGGAACCCCACGATCTTTCCGCGTTTTTCTTTCTTGGACAGCATTCACAACTTTGTCATGTACTGTGTCTCGGAAGTTAATTTTATGGCTCCACTTTGCCCAGATGTCGATTTCAGAAACAGAAACACATTTAAAATTATAATTCTGGCAGCATCCATTTCACTTTGACAGATGTTCATCATTAACGATTATTACGTTATCGACCACGATCTGAACGTCTTCGTATATGGTACCTCAATAAAAATGGCACACTGAGTCCTGCAACACAAGACGCAATAGAGATAATTGCAAAGCCTCGACGGCTAAGAAAGTACTGTTTCATATAACTGACAGCGTACTCCGATTTCACCAACCCCCACAAATCAACCAA